ACGCCACCACACTCACTCTAGCCAGGGCAACAAAGTGAGACTCTGTCTCCAAAAAAAAAAAAAGCTCCTCCGAACAAGGAGTGATCTTAAACGTCACCTAGTAGAGAAAGGCAATATTCTTAATAGATAGTTTCTACAAACAATAAGAAATATGCCAGCCACACAGTAGAAAAAACTGCTGTAAGAACATGGTTAGAATAATCAATACAAATAAATGGCTCTTAAACAAATGAGATGTTCACCGCATTTATGGTAAGAGACGTGCATGTTAAAATCTGACTGCGACGTCAACCACTTATTTTGTCACAAAACACAAAACAATCAGACATTATATATTTTCTGTTGGATGTACACAGCACCGCATATGAAGTAGTCTTGCCTATGAGATAAGATCTTTAAAAAAAATGAAGTAGTCTTGCCAACAAATCAAAACAAAGCAAAACCCAAAACCTGAATCTGATTAAGCCTGTAGAATATAAATACAAGCTTACAGGGTATACAGGGGGCAGAGGAACAGTTAAAAGACACCACTGGGATGCTATTAGCAAAACCCAAACGGTGGGTTCCTCTCCAGAACAAATAACTGGTTTCTTCAAGACAACAGAATTAGAAAGAAAACAAAAGAGAGGCAGAGGGAAAATCTGAAGATTGAAAGAGGCTCAAGAAACACATACAATGAGTTTTTTCCAATGTGGGAAAAGTGGAAGCTTCCTATGTTGCCAGTGGGAAGGTAAAGTGTACAGCTGCTTTGGAAAACAGTCTGGCAGCTCTTCAGATGATTAAACATCGATTAAACACATTGCCCTGTGACTCAGCAATTCCACTCCCAGGTATAAACGCAAGAGAACTGAAAACACAGGTCCACACAAAAACTTGTACACTTAATGTTCATGGCAGGATTATTTATAATAGCCAAAAAGTGGCTATCCAAGTGTCCCTGAACTGATGAATGCATCGATGAAATGTGATATTTCTACATGACGGAATAATATTCAACAATAAAAAAGTACGAAGTTCTGATACACGCTACAACATGGACACACCTTGAAAACACCAAGCTTAATGAGAGAAGCCAGTCACAAAGGACCACACATTGTATGATTCCAGAACTAGCATATCCATAGAGACAGAAAGCAGACCGGTGGTTGCCTAGGGCTGAGGTTGGGGTTTGAGGTTGAGGGGACAGGGGAATTGACATGGTGAACTCTGTAAATATACTAAGAACCATTGATATGTACACTTCAAGTGGGTAAATTGTGTGGTCTGCGAATTATATGTCAAAGCTGTTATTAAAGAAAAAAAAGAAATACGTCTACCAATTTGCGAAGTATGGACCTTATTTGAATTCTGATTTTTTTTTTTTTAAAAAAGCCTGTATAGGTGAGCCCAGTGGCACATGCCTATAATTCTTCAGCTACTTGGGAGACTGAGGCAGGAGGATTGCTTGAGCCCAAGAATTTGAGACCAGCCTGGGCAACAGAGTGAGAACTCATCTCAAAAACAAAACAAAACAACAAAAAATGAAAAATAAAAAATAATCCCTGTATAAATATCATTTATGAAATTATAGGAAATAAGTACATTCGACTAGATATTTGATTACACTGAGAACTTACGGTTTTGTGGAAATACACGCACACACATACCCTCCTCTTCTTTTAGTGGCACAGAATGAAAAATTCACAGATAATATGATGTCTGGGCTTTGCTTCAAATAACGGTGCAAGGGAGAAGTGGCAGTTCAGATAAAACTTAGTTGTCCAAGTCTTCATCAATGTTGAAGGTGGATGATGAGCACATTGGATTTGTTACACAATTCTCTCTATCTTAGGTTCGCCCCTTAGGTTCACTGTGCAGCCCTCAAGCAGCCCTGATACTCTTTGTGCCTCAGGACACAGGGAGGTTCTCCTGCTGCTGTTATCTCCACCAGCTCCCACCTCCTTGGCACCTTCCTCCCCTCCTGCAGCCTGAGGTCTGCCTCTGCAGAATTTGGGAAATCTAAGCCCAGTTCCATAATAAAAAGCAAAAAAACAAAGACAGCCTCAGGGAGCTAATGCTACCCTATACCTAACAGATCACCATGTTTGATGTCATCGGGTGTGGGTGAGGCCAGGGTCAGCAGCCACTCACAGGCACGAAAGGGGGCAATTTAGCAATATCTTTCCAAGTCAAAAGACCCACTCCTTTCCCCAGGAACATGCTGCGTACACACAATTCCTTGCCCAACGGGATGTCTGTCCAAGTAACTCACTGTAGCCACCAGCCACTGATGCCTGATGTTTCTTCCAGCAAATGACAAAACCTGCTGAAATGTCCCTGATCAGAGACGGGTTACACCAAGGAAGCTTCCTCCTTGAAGAGAAGCCCTTCCATTAAATGGTATAAGGAAGCTGTATCATGTAGCGGTGCGAGGAGGTCACCCCCTGTGTCAGGAAGGAGAAAAGCCTGGCACCAAAAAGTGGGTGAGTTTGTGACCAACCACTGAGGTGAAAAGTGAGGACAAGTGCACACATCCACTCCTGGGAAAACTGCTGGGCACTGTGTATAAGGCCCTGGGGACCTTGATGGCTCCTGTGGAGGAGCCAAGACTGATGGGACAGAGGAGGTGGGACCCATCGCCCATACCCTCTCATGGCTTATCAATCATTCTTTCTGGACATGGGTCCAACCCAAAATAATATTTTAAAAGGGAGCCATCTGTGAGGTTGGGCATGTCTTCCTGCCTAGAAGGTTCTGGTGACCTTCAGAACCTGGCAGATAAGAGAGGAAGTCCTGCAGGGTTGGGCCATGGGGGAGGAGTGAGTGTGGACTAACTCTGGGCAGATTAGATTGGGAAAGGGGAGGGAGAATCAGGTCCCACAGTTAGAATATGTTTGGGTGAAAGGATCAAGGGCCACAGACTTGCCCCTCTGGAAAAGCCTGGCAGGCACAAAGTACCATCACCTTTGCCCTGGAGGCCATGCTGTGCCCTCGCCAGGGCAGCGTGCATGGGGTGAGAG